TTAATTTCATTGATTCTCTTCAGTGTTTTTCTACTCCATTTCATGTACCTCTGCTCTTATCTTCATTATTTCCCTCCTTCTGCTTGCCTTGATTTAGTTTGCTCTTCTTTTTCTGCTTCCTTAAGGTATAAAGTTAGATAATTTGAGATCTTTCTTCTTTAATGTAGGCATTTACAGCTATATATATCCCTCTGCACAGTGCTCTCGCTGCATCCCATAAGTTTTTATTGTGTTTTTATTTTCGTTTATCTAAAAGTATTTTTTAATTTCCCTTGTGATTTTTTATTGAGCCATTGGTCATTTAAGAGTGTGTTTTTAAATTTCCACATGCTTGTGAAATTTCCAGTTTTTCTTCTGTTATTCATTTCTAATTTCATCCCATTGAGATTGGAGTATATAAATTTTATGATTTCAATCTTAACATTTATTAAAACTTTTTTTGTGACCTAACACGTGTTCTACTTGGAGAATGTTTCATGTGCACTTGAGAAGAATATGTACTTTGTTGTTCCTTGGGTGTTTTGTATATGTGGTAGGTCTTGTTGGTTTATAGTGTTGTTCAAGTCTCCTGTTTCTTTGTTTATCTTTCATCTAGTTTTTCTATCCATTATTGAAAGTGAGGTGTTGAAATATCTAGAATATGTAGAGCTGTCTATTTCTTCCTTTAATTCTGTCAGTTTTTGCTTCATGTATTTTGGGTCTCTTTTAGGGGTGGATATATGTTTATAATTTGTATATATTCTTGATGGATTGGCCCTTTTATCATTATATAGTCCTTCTTTGTCTCTTGTGACAATTTATGGTCACAAGTCTATTTTGTTGGATATCAGTATAGCCACTTCATCTCTCTTTTGGTTACTATTTGCATATATTGCCTTTTTCTGTTCTTTCACTTTCATTCTATTCATGTCCTTCGATCTAAAGTGGATCTCTTGTAGACAGTGTAGAGTTTGATCATGGTTTGTTTGTTTAATCCATTCTGAAAAATCTGTCATTTAATTGTAGAGTTTAAGCCATTTACATTTAATGTAATTGCTGATGGAAAGGGCCTTACTCCTGCCATTTTGCTATTTTTCTATATCTCATTTTTTTCCCTCAATTTCATTTCATTGCTGCCTTCTTTTATGTTAGATAAATATTTTCCATGTACCATTTTGATTTCCTTCTTGTTTATTTTACTATATACTTTTTAGTTATTTTCTTAGTGGTTGCCTGAGGATTACAATTAATTTATAACAATTAGATAAGTTCAAATTAGTACCAACTAATTTCAATAATATAATAAACATTACTTCTGTATTCTGTTCTCCCATCTGTTTATGTTGTTATTGTCATCAGTTACATCTTTGTGCATCATGTGCCCATCAACATATAGTTATTATTACTAGTTTATGTGATTATTTTTGAAATCATATAGAAAAAAAGAGGAGTTACAAACCACAAATGCCTTTATACTAACATTTCTATTTATTTACATGATTACCTATGCTGGTGTTCTTCATTTCTCCATCTAGATTCAAGTTACTTTTTAGTGTCCTTTCATTTCAGTCTGAAGGACCTTCTTTACACTTCTTGCAGGGCAGGTCTACTAGCAATGAACTCTCTCAGTTTTTCTTTATCTGGGAATGTCTTCATTTCTCTTTCATTTTTGAAGAATATTTTTCCTGGATATAAAAGTATTGGTTAACCATTTTATTCTTTCAATATTTTGAGTAAGTCATCCCACTGTCTCCTGGCCTCCTAAGTTTCTGATTAAAAAAAAAAAGAAGAAGCTGTATTTCTTATTAAGGATGTCTTGTATGTGATGAATCACCTCTCTTCTGCTGCTTTCAGGATTCTGTCTTTGGTTTTCAACAGTTTGATTATAAAGTGTTTCAGTGAGACTCAAGGTTCATTGAGATTTTTGGATGTGTAGATTCACGTCTTTGATCAAATTTGGCAAATTTTGGCTATTCTTACTTCAACTATTATTTCTCATTCTCTCTCTCTCTCTCTCTCTCTCTCTCTCTCTCTCTGTCCCCCCCTCCCCTTCTGAAACTCCTAGGTACTCTTGATAATGTACCTCAGATCTCTTAGGCTTCATTCATTTTTCTTTATTTTTTTTCTTTCTGCTCCTCATACTGAGTAATCTCAATTGACCTCTCTTCAAGATTGCTGATTCTTTCTTCTACTTGTTGAAATATGCTGTTGAATCTCTCTGAAAAAAAAATTATTTTAATTATTGTAGTTTTCAACTTTAGATTTTCTTTTTGGTTCCCCTTACAATTTCTATCATGTCATTGGTAGTCTCTATTTTCTTGAAATATAATTATCATGATTTCCTTGGTTTTTTTGTACATAGTTTTTTGTACATAGTTTCCTTTAGCTCTTTGAGTATATTTTAAATAGTTGGTTTATGGTCTGTTTAGTAAGTTCAATGTCTTGTCTTCCTCAAGAACTGTTTCTATTATTTCTTTATTTCCTGTGTATGGGCTGCACTTTCTTGTTTCATTGCATGACTCATAATTTTTTCCTGAAAGCTGAACATTTTGAATATTATGATATGGCACATCTGGAAATCATCTTCCTCCCACCAGGGTTTATTGCAGCTGCTTTTTGTGATTGTTGTTGTTTGATTGCTTAGTTCTCTTTCCTTAATTTTGTAAAGACTTTATTCGTTGTTGTATATAGCCACAGAAGTCTTCATTTTGTTAGCCTAGTGGTTCAGCTGGTGATTTAAATACAGCCGTGTATTCTTTGCCTGGAACAAAAAAAGAAAAGAAAATCTCTCGGTGTTTGCAAATGGACTCTATGTGCATGCTGGAGTATACCTTCAACTCTTGGTGAGGCACTTTACCACTCTGCCTTAGTCTTCACTTCCTCCTTGTGGAGAGCCTTGAGGTCAGCCAGAAGTGAAAACTTCTCAGGTCTTTCCTGAGCATGCACCCAGTTCTGGGCATGCAAGTGGGCTTCTAGATTCCCACAAATATGTGAGAGCTTTTCAAAGCCTTTATTTCCCAATGTGTTTTAATCCCCATTCTTTCTTCCCAACCCTTTTGGTTTGTCTATAGTTTGTCCCAACAGTTATCTATTGCCCCAAGTGGCAGCAGCTGTTACATTTGCCTTTTAATGTTTTCAACAAATTCCCCTTGAGTAGATAGATGCCTTAACCCTTGGAGATCTCAGCAATGAGTCAATTCTTCAGGGATCCACAAGACAGGTCAAAACAAACAACCACAGTTATTTGGAAATTAGGTCTATTCTGCTCCCTTATGTACTAGGAGCCTATACAAGGAATATGGATTGCTATCTTCAAGGCCACTGCTGAGCCAGGGTAATTTAAATACCGTGAAGCTCTATTATCAAGATTCTGGTGGCTTTTTGTTTTTTGTTTTTTTCTTGATTAAATATTCTCTTGGTTGCTGTAAACTTTCAGTTAGTTTCCCAATTTCCAATAAAGTTGATTCTGACTGCTTTTGCCAGTTTGTTTTCTCCTTTTGTGGAGGGATAGGCTTTTGTAGTTCTCTATTCTGCCATTTTCACTTTTAGGGTGCTGACTTTTGAGAAGCAATGTGCACTTCAAAACAGCAGACATTATGTGGAGCTGGGGCCCCATCAGACAGACTACATGGGAAACAAGCAGTGGAAACAGAAGTGGCCCCATCACCACTGCACCCAGTGACTCACCTCAAGAATGCCTTCAACTTTAGGCTCCACTGGACCAGTAATGCTGGTCCCTCAGCATGTCTGGGGTCGATGGGGAGGAGATACTTATCCCAGGGACGCCTAAAGCTGTAGCTGCTCCTTGTCATTTTAGGTTTCTCATGCCAACAGAGCAGTAGGCAAAGAAAGGAGTTCTTACACTTGTAGGAATATCAGATTCTGCCTATTATGAGGAAATAGCACTGCTGCTAGATAATGGGGTCAGAGAATAGGATGCCCAAAGCTCAGGGGATTCAGTGGGGCTCATTTTGGTGTTTCCCAGCCCAATGACAAAAATTATGGGCAATTGCAGCAACGATATTCTGCCCAGTGCACAGTGATCAGGACTTCAAACCTCTAGGGATGATGACCCAGTTACCCCAGCAGATCAGCAAGCTCAATATGCAGGAGTGGTGGTCAAGTATAAGGTCTATCCAGAATGAGTGGTGACACACGGGGACAACGAACACCATTGATGACCTTAGAATTCGTGGTAATGAGGGGGTCTGTAGCTTGTTTCACAAATCCTCTTTCTTAACTTCTTTGTAGAAATTGTGACAGGCAACATCCTAAAAGAAGCAGTATCAGGAGGGAGTGGACTTAATATGGGAAAGCAGTATCCCCCAGGTCTCAGCATTCCCATACAAGCTGGCCTGCCTTCCATATGCCAACACATGCATCTCTTTGCCAAGGGCTTCCACTGGCTGCTGGAGCCTGCTGTAACCACAGGCATGGCAGCCTAGAAGTGCCCGAGTACCAATGCCACATCCCCAACTGCAGCCCTCGACCAGCCCAACATCAGATAAGATGTCGTGGAGGACATCAGGATATCATTGTGTCCTCCACTGGCTCCACGTGCTCACGGGGGTAGCTTGGATGTTAACAATTGCTTTCTTGCCTGCTTGCATTCTGTCTTGGTTCACACTCCCCTACAGTACTGTTTGGCGTGAAATAAACTACTTGCACTCAAATCCATGACTGAAGATCTGCTTCTTGGGGAGCCCAGGATAAGATGCCCAACGTCTCTCCTCCTTCCCTCGAGGAAGCCTAGTTTCTTGCTTCTGACTGTTTTCCTTCCTTTTCAAGCACGGAAAAATGGACCATTTCGACGATGTAACAATTTGCTTGCTGAATTGCTGCCCATTGTACTTGGAATGAATAATAACAACCAAAAAAACCTCCCTAACACCATCTACCAGACCCTGCAGTATCTGAGCCCAGCCCACCTCCAGTCCTGCCTTCACTCACTGCTCCTAGTTTTATTGCAGGGAGCCGACAGCCCTGGGACGTGACCAACTGGGCATTCCACTGGAGGCTATATGATCAAACAGCAAACTGTTTATCATGAACACAGGATGTGGGCAAACTCACGACTGCTCCCGCTGACAGAAGGTTTGCTGGAGGCAATCACTCCCCAGCGCTGAGGTTATCTACTGCGACATCTAGAGCCTGTTGTTCGAGGAATGCAGTCTTGCAAGCCTACTCTGGACCTAGCAGCTGACCCCTTCTTCCACCCCGCTTCTCACTGTCTCTTTTGCCAAATTAATATGGAGGGCTATGTAAAGCTCAGGGCTCTTGTCCACTAGAGGCAAGGTGCCCCCTGACCCCTTCTTCCAAATATACTCTTTCGCCTCTCGTCTTTTATTCCCACGTTCGCCCCCTTGGTTCATTCCCCCTAGGTCTGTGCAGGCTACAAGTGGCGCTTGAACAGGCGGCAGTCCGAACACAGGGACTACAAAGACATGAACGAAGAAGGTCTGCTGAAGCAGAGGAGCTGAAATCGAAAGGTGAACGGTGACCCTGGGACCAGTCTGCCGGCAGCGGATATAAGTCAGTGCCCTAAAGAGGTACCGGGAGCAGTGCTTTAAAGAAGTACTGGGAACGGGAAGTTTTCTGAATCAGGATAACAAGGGGAAGAATTTGTCTGTTGAACAAAAAGCATTATGTGCGGTTGCTTAAAGTTCTGTTGAGACAGTCTGGAGCTCAGGTTAATTCACAGGCACTAACTAACCTCCTGCGGAAGCCACAAAATGTTACTATGCATAACCCATGGTTTCCACAGGCAGGCACTCTTGATGTGGAAAGTTGGGACAGAGCGGGAGAAGGATTAAAACGGGCTCATCAAAAAGGACTTAAAGTTGATTCTTCTGTTTTCTTCACTTGGAGTTTAGTTCATACTGTACTTCTGCCATTTTCTCCTGATTCTGCAGGACAACAGGCTGAATCTAAAAATCTGAAAGAATATGTTTTCCCACCCACAGCTCCAATGGAAAATAAAAAACAGGAGAGAGAGGATAAAAATTGACCCATACTCCCTCCTCCAATTGCAGAAACATCTGTACCGCCTCCTTCGGTAACAGAAATAGAAACCCCAATACAAAGAATTGTACACTCTGCTGCCATAGCTGGAGAGCCCTCAGGACCTTGTGCTTTTCCTGTTTCCATAATGCCTGATAATTTGTTGAAGGAATTAAAAGCAAGTATGATAAATACTGTCCTACAGAACCCATTCACCTTAGGATTGCTAGAATCTGTATTTGGTGCTATACGTAATGCAATCGCAGATTGTAAACGTGCACTGGCACCTGTGAGATGTACAAAAAACTTGGGAAATTGTCTCAGAACTTGTCGAGATGTAGCAACTGAGCTTCATTGCTCTTCAATGTTAGCTGAAGCAATGGCTAATTTAGTAGTTGACAAATCTAAAAGGAGCCAAGGGTCAAAACCCTAAAATGGGAAAATGTTATAATTGTGGAAAAACTGGACATTTTAGAAAGGAATGCCACCAGATCTCAGGACAGAAAGGATCTTACAATGCAGTTCCTCCCCACCCCACAGCGGAAAAAATGCCAGGACTTTGTCCTCGCTGTAACAAAGGAAATCACTGGGCTAATCAGTGCCGTTCAAAATTTCATCAGATTGGCACACCCATGTCAGGAAGTGAGACGGGGGGCTGAACCCGAGCCCCACAAACAATGAGGGCATTCCCAGTCCAAACCTCAACCCTGTTTCAGGGATGGGTTCCCAGAGGCACATTGATTCCCTCGCCCCAGGAACACCAGGACGTGCACGATTCGATCTCCCAGTCAGAGAATGGATAATGTTAGTTGGGGGAGACAAACCTATCAAAGTTCCCACTGGTATTTGGGGACTAATTTTAGGCAAAAGCCGCCTTAACTTGCAAGGCATTGCTGTAGTCCCAGGAGTTGTTGACTCTGATTATGGAGGAGAAATTCAAGTAGTTTTAATGTCACAAGATCTTTGGGTTTTTGAACCGGGAGAATACTTTGCTCAATTGTTGCTTATTCCCTGCAAATTACACCCCTCTTCATGAAAGGAGAAATGAGGAAATAAAGGGTTTGGGAGCACAACTACATGGGAAATCTATCTGTCCCAACCCATAGCCTCTAATAGACCCACCTGTGTAGTACAAATTAAAGGAAAGAAATTTTATGGGCTTATGGATACGGGAGCTGATGTGTCAGTAATATCTAAAGACAATTGCCCCCATTCTGGCCCTTGTAATTAACTTCTACATCCTTAGTGGGAGTAGGAACAGCTCAGCGTGTTCAGTAGAGTGCTGAGATTTTACCTTGTCTCGGTCCACATGGACAGTTATGTACTTTTCAGCTTTATGTTGCAAATACAGCCATCAATTTATGGGGTCGAGACTTACTTACAGCATGGGATAGGAGACTTTCAAATGAAAACTTTGATAACCTAGGATTTAAAATGTTGAAGAATATGGGATATCAGAGTGGAAAAGGTTTGGGGAGGTTTCTACATTGAAATCCTAACCCAGTATCAGTAACTGGAAAAACAGATAGAAAAGGGCTAGGATGTTAGGATTTCTGACGGAGGCCATTGATATTTCTCCTCTGCTCACTGCCTTACCATTAGAATGACTCTTTCTACCTAATCACACAGTTGAAACCTTGCACGTTTATCTTTCTTTAATTACACAAATTGCAACTATGGGCAGGCATAGGTCAAAAATGTTTACAGGATGTGATCCTGACAAAATTATTCTTCCTTTAGACTCCCAACAGCAAGCCACACTTGGAAAATGTTGACTGCCTGGCAAACTCTTTCGCAGATTTTGTGGGTGCTATAGATAACCACTACCCCTCAGACAAAATTTTACAGTTTTATAAAATCCATTCTTTCATTCTTCCTGTGATTACTCATCACAAACCTATTCCAGGTGGACAGACTTATTTTACTGATGGCTCTTCCAAAGGTCGTGCCGCTATCTATGGACCTAAACATACTCAAACAGTAATGACCTCTGGTGCTTTAGCTCAACACTCAGAGCTAATTGCAGTCATTCAGGTTTTACAGCTCACACCTTCAGATCCTATCAACATTGTCTGTGATTCAGCTTATGTTGTAAATGTAGCCAGTTGCATAGAAGCTGCTACAGTTAAAAGTACACTAGACCCAGAACTGCTTAATTTGTTTCACTTATTCTCATATGCTGCATGCTACATGCCAAACAGGTGAGACAACTGGTCATGTACAGCGACACTGTCTGTCATCATTTGCTCATATGGAGATACCTAAACAATTAAAAACTGACAAGGGACCTGCTTATGCTAGTCATGCTTTTCAAAATTTCTTACAGCTTTGGGCTATAACCCATAAAACAGGAATTCCTTATAATCCTAGAGACCAAGGCATTATAGGACGGGGACATCAAATATTACAACGCATGTCGAAAAAACAGAAAGGGGATATAGGAGGCCAACTACCACCTCAATCAAAACTACATTTAGCCTTATTTACTTTAAATTTTTTGACTCCTGATATGGATGGTAAGATTCCAGCAGAAAGACATTGGCAAGTGTTAGAGGAAAAGAGGAAAGTTTATCCACAAGTGTTATGGAAATCCCCGGAAGAAGGACAGTGGAAAGGTCCACTGAATTTACTGACATGGGGAAGAAGGGATACTTGTGTTTTTACAGGAGATGAGCAAATCGTGTGGGTGCCCTCAAGGTGTGTGCGACCATAGAATGGGAGACTGGAGGAACCCAGGGTGGCAAACCATGGGCCCAGTCCTTCTGATATGAGCCATGAGTCACCTGAGCCTGAGTGCAAAGACGGAGAGAAGGCCGACCAGAGTCACAACACAGTTCTAATGTTACATTTGTCAAGAATATCACCACACAATTTACAGTTTGTGTTTTTAATCCTTATGTCTTTTGGGCAGCTAAGAAGGACCACCTCCAGTTAAATAATGCCCACTTGACCTGTACATCTTGCCAGTTATATCACTGCATTAATCATAGCACATTGCAAAATACGTAATATCTCTATCTTGATGATTTTAGGTCTCATCCCTGGGCTATGGATTCCTGTTAATCTCTCTGAGCCTTGGGCTCCCACACCTGCTTTGCACTTTGTAAAACTTCTTCTAACTCAGCTAACTCATTGTGTCCGTGGAGCCTTAGGCATGATCATTTTTGCTATTGTTTCTTTGGTCACACTAATAACTTCTGTTGTGAGGTCTCCTGTAGCTTTCCGTAGTTCTATTCAAGCAGCTCAGTATGTGGAGAACTGGACGCGCATAGCCAACCAAGCTTGACTACTTCAGAATAAAATTAACATTGAGTTACAAATTGAAGTGGCAATGTTATAATCCATGGTTCTATGCTTAGGGGAACAAGTACAAAGCTTGCAATTGCAGCAGCAATTGCGTTGTCATTTTACTCACACTCATATTTGTGTAACCAACTTAGAATATAACCAAAGTGAGTATCTGTGGGACCTTGGGAAAGCCCATTTTCAGGGAGCTTTCACATCCAACATCACCTTTGATATTGGCAAATTACAGAACAAAATTCTTGATTTAAAGAGGCAAACTCAAGAATTTCAGCCTTTAGAAGGCTGGACCGAATTCCAGCAAGGCCTGAAGAGCATCAACCCTTGGAACTATCTAAGGCACCACAGTTACACCTTTTATGTGGTTCTTGGAATAACATTGTTTTGTCTCTGTCTTCTGTTTATAGTCTGTAAAATCAGATGGACTGCCAATTGGAGAATGAGAGCTGACCAGCCTGGCCTTACGTTCTTTCATTTAATTCATAAACAGAAAGGGGATATGCAGGGAGCCGAAGGCCCTTGGGACGTGACCAACTGGGCATTCCACTGGAGGCTATATGATCAAACAGCAAACTGTTTATCATGAACACAGGATGTTGGCAAACTCGCGACTGCTCCCGCCGACAGAAGGTTTGCTGAAGGCATTCACTCCCTGGTGCTGAGGTTATCTACTGCGACATCTAGAGCCTATTATTCCGGGAATGCAGTCTTGCAAGCCTACTCGGGACTGAGCAGCTGACCCCTTCTTCCACCCCCTCTTGTCACTATCTCTTTTGCCTAATAAATATGGAGGGCTGTGTAAAGCTCAGGGCCCTTGTCCATTAGAGGCAAGGTGCCCCTGACCCCTTCTCCAAATATACTATTTTGTCTATTGTCTTTTATTCCCACGTTTGTCCCCTTTTTTCAGTGCCCCTTGGTCTGTGTGGGTTACATAGTGGCGCTCCTAACGGTGACAGAATTGGGTGTTCCACATTTTATGAACACCCTTCCCATCATTTGTCATTTGGTGAATTATTGCTCATCCTTCAGATTTTAGCTTTCAAGCCATTTCCTTGGAGAAATCTCCTCCAAACCCCCTCATATTGACCATTTCCCTCTATGATTCTTCTTCAAAGGACACTCTGCTTTTCCATTTTATGCTTATAGTAAGTCACCTTCATATATTTACTGGTGTATTTATCTGATTAATATCTTTCTCCCAACTAAACTGCACAAAAATGTTGAGATGGGCCCTGAAGTTCTCCAAGGCAGATGGATGGTGGCAATGAAGTTGTGATAAGAAGAAGGAAGGGCAAGAGGGGGCATGGCCAGAAGCCCACAGGTCCCTGGCTGATGGAAACATGAGGTGTGAAGAGGGCCAGCATTTTCAGAAACTTTGAGTGCTGTTTTCCCTCTTGACCCCACAACCCCCTCCACCTAGGTCCTCATTTCCCTGCACCAAAATGTTTTGTCAAGGCCAGCTATGCACCTCCAAGTGACTAAATCCCAGGGTCTATGGTCACTCCTTATTCTCTCTTGGCCCATCAGCAGCAGTAGACACAGCTGTGGGCCCTACCTTCCTGAAGCCCTCTCTTCCCCTTGCAGACTGCTCCTCTGCTTCTCCTCCCTTGCCAGATGCTCCTTCCCAGTCTCCTTTGCTGGTGTCTCCTGACTGCCTCCACCTCTGAATGCTGTGGGCTCCCCAGGTTCAGGCCTGGGTCTCCGCTTCTCTGACCACAATCACTCCCTTGGTGATGTCATTCTGATGCACACAGGTTTTAAATGCCTTCTGTAAGTCAACAACTCCCAAATCAATATTACTAGCTTGACCTCCTTCCTGGACGCCTGACTCTATATTCAGCTGCCTGCCTGCAAGCTCCCCTTAGAGACTGTAGCTATGTCAAACTCCACATGATCCAAAGCAATCTCCTGACTCTGTTCTCACCCCACCCTGATCCACCTCCTTTTTTCCCCACCCCAGTAAATGACAACTCTGTCTGTCCATGAGCTCAGGCCAAAACCTTTGTGTTCCCTCGACTCCTCCCCATGTCCAATTCATCACCATTGTCAGAAGTGGTCCTCCTGTTTCTTCCCTTGCCTTCTTGTAGCTCTTTCTCAACACTGCAGCCTCAGCAGTCTTTGGAAAGGAGAGTCAGGTCATGTCACTTCTTGGTTAAAAAGATTTCAGTTACTTGCATCTACTCAGAACAAATCCAAAGTCCCAACAGCAGTGCACACAAGGCCCTACCTGATCTGCCCCAACCAACTCTCTACCCTCCCTCCTCATCTCTGACCCCTCTCCTTCTCGCACCCTTGGCTCCAGCTTCCCTGGTTTCCCTGATGTTCCTTAAATGTGACAAGCTCACTCCTGCCCCAGGGTCTTTGCACCATTGCTTTTCCCGCCTGCAGTACTTTTTGCAGATGGCCCCAAGAACTTGCTCCCTCATTTTTTCAGAGTTCTGCTCAAATATCAGCGTCTCCATAATACCTTCCTTGACTGACCTATTATCAATGGCAACCCCATGTCCCCAGAGCCTCCTATGCCCTTAACCTGCATTTTAAAATTTCACAGCACTTATCCCCATCTCATTTTCTATATTCACTTATTTATTTGTTTATTGCCCATCTCCCTGGCTAGAACCTGAGTTCCATGAAAGTGAGAACTGTATGCCCAGCTCACCTCTGCAGCTGAGAACGGGCTCTGCTAAAGGAATGAATGAGAATCTGCTCAATAAATATTTATAGATTAAACCAATGAGTAAGTGGATTTATATTTACTTCCAGTGGATCTCAGGGATATGTTCAAGACGTCATCTAGTAATAAGAGTTGTGAACTGGGATTCTGAGGAAACAGTTCATTCCTGACTCCTTACTGACCCTTTTGTATGTTTTCAAAGCAAACATGCAAAGCATGAAGACCTTCAAAAACCCTTCTCTTCCCTCTCAAATCTTGATTCAGCTTGCAAAGGGCAAAAGAGCCCTTCCTTTTCTTGTAGGAGACCTCAGTTTCTTAGATGGTTTCCCTATATGACCTTGGTCAATCCAGGTAATCTCATTGGGCCTCATTTTCTCCTTCTGTAAAGCCTCCAAGATCTTCCAGCTCTGAAGGTCTATGGTTCATTTCCACCTGAGATGGCTGTGGCACTTTGACCTCACTGGGGGAAGCATTTCAGATAAGCAGGCCCTGCTATCTCGGGAGCCTTTCTCTTCACCTCCATCCCTTCATGTGAAACCCAACACCACAGTTTCTGGGACTGCCTCCTCATTGATAAAGTGTTCCCTGATTTCTCAATGAGCTTGCACACTCTAGCTGCAGTGATAATGGGCTATATCTGGCCTGCCGGAATCCTGCCCATGTTCCAGTCAGTGCTGTGGCTATCAGTTGTCTGCTGAGCATGAATGGCCAGAGGCAGAAAAAGGACAAGGAGCCGTGCTGTTGAGAAGTGGAAGTGATTAACTTATGTCGCATGCTCCAGCAGGAGTATCAGCCAGTGATAGGTGAATGAATGTATGTTGACAGCTGCCTTGGAGTTCACACCATACCATCAGCACTCTGCAGGAAACAGATTACTCCAGGGCTTGAGAGCTCGTTGACAGCTGGAGCTTTCTGATAAAGTTGTCAGAAAGTGAAAAGGACAGTCCCAGGAAATTGTAAGTTTCCTGTGCTTGGAGATGTTCTGGTAGAGGAGGAGAAGTGGTGGATGGGATGTTGTAGACGAGGTTGAAAGTGCACTGATGGGCTGGGTGCGGTGGCTCACACCTTTAATCCTAGCACTTTGAGAGGCTGAGGCGGGAGGACTGCTTGAGCTCAGGAGTTCAAGACCAGCCTGGGCAACATGGTAAAACCCCGTTTCTACTAAAAACACAAAAAATTAGCTGAGTGTAGTGGTGCGTGCCTGTAATCCCAGCTACACAGGAGGCTGAGGCACAAGAATGTCTTGAACCCAGGAGGCAAAGTTTGCAGTGAGCTAAGCTCGTGCTACTGCACTCCTGCCTGAGTGACAGATGAGACTCTGTCTCATGAAAGAAAGAAGAAATAAAGAAAGAGAGAGAGAGAGAGAAAAAAAGAAAGAAAGAAAGAAAGAAAGAAAGAAAGAAAGAAAGAAAGAATAAAGAAAGAAAGAAAGAAAGGAAGGAAGGAAGGAAGGAAGGAAGGAAGGAAGGAAGGAAGGAAGGAAGGAAGGAAGGAGAAAGAGCAGCGATGGGCAGCCCATGTCTGTCCTGTTCTTCACAATGTCATTAAAACCTAACATGGTGTCCTCTGCTGCACTCAGGGGCTCGGGGCCGAGGTATATCTGTCTGGGCATCAGTTGGGGCCCCAGGAAATGGTGGAATGAAGGGAAGGTGGTATAAGCAAGTTGGGCTAAACTCCTAGAAGAAGAGCCAGGATCCAGGTGTCAGGAAAGGGCAAAATCCAGAGATAGTCAGAAAGGGCAAGGAATTCAGGGTGGGAAGCAAGTATTCACAATAGAGGAAATGAGATAAAGTAAAAACAAGTCAAGATCAACTAGGATCAGAGGACAGTAGGTCCAAGTGGTCACTTATAAGCTGGAAAGGGATGATGCCAGGTGCATTGGCCTTGATTTAAAAATGACCAGAAGTGGGGTGTATGTTGTGTCTTGCTGATAATACTGCACTGCAGAACACCAACAATCATCTTTTCAGGAAGGCCAATTCAGAAAAAACAGAAAGACTCATGGGCCATGTTTACCACCACCTAAAATGAAATACTTTTGTTAACTCTCATGAAAAAAAAAATACAGATATTCTTCTAACTTGGATTACATACTTTGTGCAATGTCACTTAGAAAATTGGTCCTGCTTTTGGCCACTTTGATGTTACTCTCCAGGCCTATTTGAGAAGCCATGAGGTGGCAACTTCCTAATCTTTCACCTTATTATAGCCCAAGCAATGAGCTATACAGACCCTCGTGGTCTGTCCACATGATCTCATCTCTGCTGTAGAATTTCATCAAGTGGAATTTCAACTTTGAAGAAAGCAATATAAACTACATGGTTGCGTAAGGAGTCCACAAGTCTGAATACTTGTTCTGTTAACAGCCCCACCCCTCTCTTTTTCACTTTGATTTGCATGTAGTTTTCAGTCAGGCCAGAAAAAGCACTTAAAGCTCTCCATTCCATGACCCCCACCCTCCCAAAGGCGTGAGCTCTGTTGGGCTTTGGCGTCAGTCTGAAAGATTATGCACGTTCTCTGTTTCTACCCAAGCATGTCACAGGAGAGAGCCTGACCTGGGTGGGGTGAGATGAGGAAACTGGATGACTTCCCAGCCTCTCATGAGTCAGGTGTTCATGGCCTCATTCTTTTATTCAGAGAGGATTCCTGGAACATAACCCATTTTCTGATATCAATGCAAAAACACCTTTAGTGCCAAGTGGCGCCCTTTGGGGTCACATCGATGGACCCTATAGGCAGCGTCCTCTTCAGAATGGGAGAGATGGGCTGGGAGAAGCAGCCAGGAGGCTCTCTTTGCAGAGTCTCTGGGGTGATGGTGCAAAGTTTAAGTTTTATTCTAAGAGCAATGGGAAGTTATTAGAGAATTTAATGCAGACAGGCCATGATCTGATAACCATTTTTAGAAGATATCTCTGTCCGCAGCATGGGTGATAAAATCGAGGGAGGGAGGGGATGAGGGAGACCAGTTAGGAGGCTACTGAGGTCTCCATCCATTCACGTATTTATTCATTCTCCAAATATTTCCTGTACTCAAACTGTATGGGCAGCAGGCACTGGGGATGAGGCTCCCTACCCTGCCAGAGCTTAGGGGTGAGAACGACAATAAAAAAGTAAACAACTAAACAGAAGAGATCATTTCAAAGTGTGATGAGTGCTATGCAGAACATGAAACAGGGTGCTGTGGT